ACCCAGAGAGGTGGTACTCTCACCTTCCCTGGAAATCTTCAAGAGGAGACTGGATAGGCATCTGGCTGGGGTCTTATGACCCCTGCCACCCCCAGTGCTCTTTCCTGCCCATGGCAGGGGGTCAGACTAGATGATTTGTCTAGGTCCCTTCTGACTCACTGATTCTATGATTCTATGAAATCGGAGTATTTGGGGCTAGTCAGATAGCCAGGGATAAATACATGAACTTCTAGACTCAGTTACTGTAAAAACAGAAGAAACCGTCTTTCAGTTTAAAGAGATGATGTCTAGGATACACTACCAGGGCAAACAGTTCCAAATGCTGCACGGGATGGTCTGCTGTATTATGGTTCACTTTGGTGATAATGCTTTTTCCTGATGAGCTTTGAATGGGGATATATAGATAATACATATCTTACACATATTTACACGGAGAACACCTCATGTGTACCTTACACTACCCAAACTAAAAGAAAACACTGAAAACCAACTCTCATATATGCAAGACCTGTCTGCATTGTGTTAGGTGGTGCTGGAGAAGGTATCCTGAAAGCATGACCCACCCTGTCGCTCCCACTTTGGATGGACCATGCATTGAAAAAAGTCAGGAAGCTGCCATTGTTGGGTGGACCTAATGCTGCTCTCATAAACACATCAAAATAGGGAATGATGCTGGATATACCATGGGCATGCAGCAGAAAACAGCTATGTGACATCATTTGATATTTGGTGCATGTGAGTGGGATCAAGTGTGCAGAACCTGTTTTCGTCTGTAGACAACTCTGTAGTCTAACACAGCGATCTTGGATCTAACTGGGTGTGTCTACATGTGTAATTAATGGTAAGCAATAAACTCCAGAATTCATTGCTCTTTGATTGTGTATCTGGGATCATAGTATGTTGAGCCAGGTTGGAGCAGCCCTGGCTGGCAGGTGGTTCTGGGGGGTGAGTCTGCCAGCCTGGGGCTGCTTCCCCTGGCTCAACATGCTGCAGAAGGTCTGGCTGGGGCATGAAGGTGCTTCAGTGTGGGGGTTAGCCAGTAGGCAGCCCCCATGCTGAAGCACCCTCATGCCCTGGCCAGTCTCTCCAGCATCTACATGTGCCCTGCTGTGGAGTTTTTCACTCTGCAGCAGGACAGTACTTGTAAATACTTGTAATTACAAGTATTTAGAATTATTGACAAATACTATTCTGCTGCACAGTAAATTCATAGATGTTAGGGTCGGAAGGGACCTCAATAGATCATCGAGTCTGACCCCCTGCATAGACAGGAAAGAGAGCTGGGTTCAGATGACCCCAGCCAGATGCCCATTCAACCTCCTCTTGAAGACCCCCAGGGTTGGGGGAGCACCACCTCCCTTGGGAGCCCATTCCAGACCTTGGCCACTAACTGTGAAAAAGTTCCTCCTCATGTACAGTCTAAATCTACATTCTGCTAGCTTATGGCCATTATTTCTTGTGACTCCCAGGGGCGCCTTGGTGAGTAGAGCCTCACCAATTCCCTTCTGTGCCCCTATGATGAATTTATAGGCAGCCACAAGGTCACCTCTCAGGCCTTTTGCAGAGGCTGAAGAGGTCCAGGTGCCCTAGTCTCTCCTCGTAGGGCTTGGCCTGCAAACCCTTAAGCATATGAGTGGCCCTTCTCTGGACCCTCTCGAGGTTACCCACATCCCTCCAGTTTAGTTAATTTACTCCAGCCTAATAAAGGCACATGTGTAGACACCAAGACATTTACTGTGCAGCAAATTAGTCTACCGTGCAGTAAACACCTTGTGTAAATGCACCCACTTAGTACTAACTGGAAAAGCAGCCTGAAAGTGCTGCCCTTGCTTACCAACCAGCAGAAATAGGAAGTTTGAAGGGTGAAACATGAAAAAGAGCAAGCCATTTTCTGATCATGAATCCAACTCTTTATTCTATGGTAGTTCACAGAGTATTATTAACTACTAATTATGTCTGCTAAAGAAGGAGAAGATTCTTCTGGTGAGATGCCAGCCCAGGACTTATGAGATCTGGATTCAACACCCAGCTTTGCCACAGACTTTGTGACCTTGGGGATTTTGTTTAATGTCTCTCTGACTCGGTTTCCCGTTTTGTAAAGTGGGGATAATAATGTTTCCCAATTTCACAGGACTGTTGTGAAGACAATTCCATTGATCTTATACCATGATGATACGCTGCACAGAAAGCACATAGGTTACCAAACACCAATGCAAACTGTGAAAACGTCAGGCATGCCTAGTACATTGGCAGATCATTTATCCTTACACAGTGAAGGCTTTAGCTGGCATTCTACTGTAAACTGATTATTACAGGAGTCCTTTGGCATAACTAGGCAAGCTGGAGAGCTAAACTGCAACTGTACACACTGCTTTACAGCAAATTCTGCTTCTCCAGAGTAAGACCTAACTAAAAATGGATTTGCTCTCTGTAAGGAAGAGATAAGGCTTGAAGGCAAGATGTTTATAGTTTCTAGGTAGGTCAATTAACAACAATACAATCCAGAGGCAGATTTTTTTGTTGGAGTTATTGTTTTATTATGTCTCCCATGAACAATGTTTTGCTTTCTTTGGAGTCCTGTTGAAATGTTTTTGATCTCACAGCAGTGAGGAAGAACAGCTTTAAGGCACATTTGTGATTTCCTCCCTACACACACCAGTTTATAACACTGAAATAACGACTGTTCCAATTTTTCCTCCTCATAATTGTTAAACAGTTCCTGAACAATCAGGAGTTAAAGGGATGCTGTTACCAGCAATAAATCCAGTACCAACAGGACTAACTCCAAAGCCAGGGGCAGATCCAGAGGGGATTCAATGGTGTGATTGTACCTCCCTTCTACTATACCACACAGTGAGCTCTCCTAACTCCTAGGGGAGCTGGGCAGGGAGCAGGCACAGAAAAGAAGGCTGCTTGCCACCGCTGTCCCTTTGCACAGATGGAGCCCTTGAGCCAGTGAGGTTCCTGGGGGCAGAGTAGAGAACAGGTGTAGGGAGGAGGAACCTGTCCACTAGCCACTGTCCCTGGCTACCCTGGACACAGGGAGCAGCCCCAAAGGCTGTCTCTGCCTGCTGTAGCCAAGGAGAGCAGCTGTGTGGGGTGCTGGGCTTGGCCAGGGTGAGTCCCCCTGAGTGGGGCAGAAGGGAGCAGGCGTAGGAAAGTAGCTGTCCTGGGCTGAGACTCTTGGTGGATGGGCAACTGGTGCCTCCTGAGTTGGGGGGGCACTTGCCCCCACCCCCCAGCGATCACTCAGCAACTGGTGGGGGGGGTCCCCCACTGCCAACTGCATTGATGGGGGGGGTTCCCCCCGGGGCTGATTGCGCAGGGTTGGTGCAATCGGCCGCAGGAGAACCCCACCCCCCCCAGTCGGTGCAATCGGTTGCAGGGGAACCAGGGGGATCACTTCTCCTGGCGTCCCCACTTCCCGGCTGGCACTCTCAGGGGGGCACCCTGCCTGTTGCCTAAGCAGGGAACGCTGGCTGTCAGGGGGTGCACCAGCACTCTCAGTCACCACTGGAGCTGAGCACCCCATACTGTCACTCTCTGCAGTGCAGTGGGGCAGGATAGCCCTGGGGCTCCCCCGATGCCTTGGTCAGCTGGGGAAAGTGGTGGTGGGAGGTGGGTTACCCCTTCTTGCTCCTGCCCCCCGTATGTCCCTCCTGGGGTTTCATGTTGGGCCAGGGTCTCCAGCCATGCCTTACCCCCACCTGCATGGTCTGAGAGGTGGTATGCTGTGCTCCCCTTTACATTCAAATCTAATTAGATCTTGGAGACGTCAGACATATTCAACATTTAACAAACTCCATTCTTTTTGAAATCACTGGAAGTTTTACAGTACTCTTCCACTGCTGGGCAACTGTGAAAGGCACCTTCCTCACTCTTCTGCACCTAGCTTGTGCTGGTTTTCATTCTTTACCTTCACTCTTTGGACTGTATGTATTCTCATGCTTGCATTTCATACATTTTGGCGCAGTGAAATAAGAGTAGAAGATTCAGTTCCACATCATTAGTGGCACACAGCAGTGCTTGGAGTAACATATTGTGAGGAAAGTTTAGATTTTAAATATCTATTTTCAGTCCCATTTTTTTCAAAATAATGAAAATATTTTCATTTACATGAAGTCGTGTAACCCTGTCTTTCTCTCATATTGTTTTGGACCTAGAGCTTCTTGAAAACTTCGCTCTGAAACATACAAAATACTTTAGAACCTCCCACTTGTTACATTTGATATTAGTTTTTCAAAGCAAATTCAAATGCTTTGTCTAATACATGGAAATGACCTGGGGCAGGGCACAGTTGTTAAACCTTCCTGAGACAAACTGTGCAGTGGAAGCATGAATTGCCACACAACTCAATGAGAGGTGCACTTCTCTGAGAGCAAATTTTAACAGCCTCATATCCAGAGAGACATCTGGATATGATGCCACATTGTTTTTTGCTTGGTTGCAGTCTTAGGTAAGATACAACTCTGCAGGTAAGGACTGATAAAATTATTTGGCCCAGTAGTTAAGCAGACTTAAATGTGCCAGAGACTGAACTCTAAAGATTTCCCAAATGTGGAGAAATTCTCTAATGGGTGAGGACCAGTGCACAGATCTTCTACTACCATCTAGTACTAGGAGGGCAGAGAAGGTTTCTGTCTGGGCAAAAGAAGTGTATAAACAGTTAAGGGCACTTCCGGGGTAGTCGTTTTGCCCCCTGGCAGCTGTGCAGAACATACCCGTTTACTCCAATCTCCCTTAGCTGGCTCCTGTCTCCTGCCTGCCATGCCTTGATGTTACCGTTAGTACGTTGTTTAGGAGGCTGTCTCTAGGTGACCAGAATGTACCTGAGGGTGCCTTGCAGCCCTTTCTATTGGCCATCTCTACTCTGTAATAGGGCTAGGGTTCCCTATTCCAGGCACATTATCAGGTAGCCTAAAACTAGTGCAGCTCCACTGACTTTAGCAAAGTGACACCAGTTTATATATTTATGTCAATTAATAAACTGGCGTAGAGAGGGTTTTTTTGTTGTGTTTTTGTGTTTTTTATTTTGCGTTTGAAGAACAGTTGCTGGCTCAAAGAATACTAAGAAAAACCCATTAATTCCTGCTAAAAGAGGCCATCATATGTTTTCAGCATTTTGGCTTCTCTTCCTTCCCCTCCCCCAGGAACAAAGAATGAAAACAGAGTCTTGTGTTACTTTGAATCCTATCTTCTCCTGTTACCTGTTCCCACATCTAAAGTAAAACTCCTTCAATCAGCACATAACAGTGCATAACTGTGGGGAGGATTATGATTCCAGCTGAGCGAATACGAGTAAGGTTCAGATGAGGTCCTAAGCAAGAATGATGCTAATCTCATGCTTTCATACTTAGTAAGAAAGAAAAGGAATCAATCTCTGCACCCTTTCCAATATACAGCCATCAACAGAATGCTTTTTTAAATGGAACATTTCTTAAAATTAGCCATGAATTACCAGCTGCAATTTACTCAGTTAGCACTGACTGACAGATCAGAACTCAACCCAATGTACCTGACATGTTTTTATACTATTTAAAACTCTTGCTGGGACAGTCACCAAGCCTTGCAGTAGTGAGAGGAAGGTGCAGAGGAGAATAGGATGATCAGGCTGTCAGTTCTCATAAAACAGTGGAGACTTTACATTCTGTCAGTGCTGCTGCCACTGCTGCGCTCTCAAAGCAAAGAAGCTCTGGGAGTCAGTGAATATATTAATACAGAAAATACAGACCCCCCTCCAAATAACTAACTCTTTCAGTGTTTTATAAAATGCATGTAGTAAAAAAAAATCTTCGGTTTGTTCTGTTCAACTGCACAGCCTGGAGGTACAGTTTTAGCACTGCACATGCTCAAAGAGTAATTATTATTGTGAATAAAAAAATACTACTTCCTGAGCAGTGCAATTTAAAGTCACCCCTGGAGGATTCCTCATTTAAAATGTTGCCTATAAAGAATATTTTGCTAGTTAGAATTCCCAACCTCTCTGCATAAACTGCTGTTAGATTAGATGCATTGACTATTAGTGAGCTTGCCTGAAAGGTTGCACCAGGAATCCTAAAGATTATCATCTTTGGCTGTTCATATTGTTAAGTAAAATTGAGAACAATATGAGTAGGATAAAGGCAAGGACAGGTTTCCTCTGGTCATTCAGGTCACATACAAAAGTCAGTCTTTTCTGAGACGTTTCACAGTTCATAGTGGTAGAACTGACACTGAAAGACAACTATACAAATCCATACATATTCTCATCTCTCTAATATCAATGTAGCCAACTTCAGTCTTTTAGTGAGTTGTAGGCTTTGGTTGTCCGGTTATTGATGAAATCTGTCTTCTTGAATTCAGCCTTTGGAATGAAACAAACAAAAGAACTAATTATAATAAATGACAAGTCTGTAAAAGAAGGCACTATAGGACAATGAGCAATTTCCAAGCACATACAAAGCATCTGAAACTTTCTGTAAAAGACTGCTCCAGGATTTCATTGGCTTCATTTACTCAAGTTATTCCTTTGGCTTGTTTGCCAGATTTACTTTTTGAAAGTGACTAGTGATGGTTAGGTTTCTTACTTTTTCATTGTCTAATAAATCACTTTCATAGTTTCATAGTTTCTAGGGTCGGAAGGGACCTGAGCAGATCATCTAGTCCGACCCCCTGCCATGGCAGGAAGAGCACTGGGGTCAAATGACCCCAGTAAGGTGGTCATCCAACCTCCTCTTAAAAACCCCCAGGGTGGGAGCCTGCACCACCTCACTTGGAAGCTGGTTCCAGAC